CATTGATTACTTTTTAAGTTTGCAAATTGTTTGGTTTTTTTTTTTTTTAAATGGTGGGAAAGGAAAGAACAGAAACACCTTTCAAAGTGCATCTTGTACTGACATTGTAATGTTTTATTAGCCTTTAAGAAGTATGTCTACAGTGAAGTCACAACAGAATGGTAAAAATATCCCAGGCTACCACTAAACCTGTTAGGTTAGATAGCGCACGGGCAGGCCACAAAGCTTGCCCCAAGGCAGGTAAATACAGGAGAGCCATACTGTTACACAACCAATACCCAAGCTAGCTGGAAGACTGACTGGTGAATCTCCCTTTCTACCACTGCTATTCTCTACTTTTTAAGAACAGAGCAGAGTTCACCCCCCTGTTAGATCATAAGGTCAAAATTGACTGCTATTACCAGGAGCCTAACTGGCACAAAGGACACACTACTTCTATTCACGTCCTAGAAATTAGTCCTCTATGCCCCTGAGATACCAGGTCTTACACAGCAAAAAATATTTCCAACAACAGAAACATGCTTCTTATGGTAATTGAAGCAAGGCGGGCTTTGACAAGATACAGCAAAAAGCTTTTTTATTGTGAGGACAATCAAGCCCTGGAACAGATTGCCCAGAGCGGCTGTGCAGTCTTCACATCCTTTGAGGTTTTTGAGACCTGACTGGATAAAGTCTTGAGCAACCTGGTCTGGCCTCATAGCTGACCCTCCTTTACACCTCCTGAAGTCCCTTCTCACGTGAATTGTCCTGTGGTCCTATAATCCGTTTTCTTACTTAAGACAGATCCTTAAAGCCCTCACCACCTGATGTCTCCTAGCACAGTTTGATGCACTTTCTACAATGTGAACACTGGCCATGTTCCAGACATCCTCTCAGTTCCCACAAAGGAGCCATTTCTTCTCCTTTGCCATTGTACAAGTACATCCCTTGACAATCTCCTTTCAAACTCAACTTCATTGCATCTCACAAAATTTAGTGTTATCACTTCATTTTTAATCATTGTTGTCAAAAACATAGGAAGATAAAAAATATCCTGCAGAATAAACCTTTAAATTCCTGGAGACAAGGAATATAGACCAAATGAGAGGTACCTAAAGATGCCAACAGAAATAATTTCAACATGCACATACCAAATTCCTCCTTTAGATTTTAAGCAGATTCAGGAACTACATTCTTAACAGCCAATATCAATGGCAAAATATTCTGTGGCTTCAAGGGCACCTAGTCAAACTATTAATCAAACTTTTCAAAATTGAAGCCAAAGGGATTCCTGGCATTTGAACACAATAAAATGACAAATGTGGCACCATGAATATATACCATCTTTCCAGGGCCTTGTCTCTATAAGCGAATTTATACTAATTTAGCTAAGTAGATTTGATATCTCTGATTTGGTTACCTTCATTCAGTAAATTGCCAAAGCAAGTTAAAACTATTCAAAGTTTAAGAAAGCTTAAAGTTATACATTTAGCTAATCAAACCAGTAGACTCAATTTCAGTTAAATGAACAGAGACAAGGCCTAAGCAGGCCCAACCTCTGCAACTCCCAGCAGGCTGCCTTTATTCAGTGGATGGAAAGATAGCAAAACCTTCCACCCACTTCATTCTATCTCAGCCTAGCAGTAGCGTTTTAAATTAATTCCGGACAAGACAGGTAGCTGCAAAAGGTTCACAAAAAGGAGAACTAGGCCCACTGCTTTACTTCCCGACCACAAAAGAAAGCTTTGCAATCGTAATAACTGGTTTCTTTATCAACCTTATAGTTCGACCCTCATACTCTACACTTCTCTACCCCCATAACAATCAGATTCCCCTACCATGATAAACTACTCCACCGCTTCCACCAAGGTCTGCCCACCTGGGATATGAATTATTACCTGTAATTGAACATTAGTTAGGTTGGACGTGCTAAATCACTACAATTAAGTTACAGAAAAGATGAGGGCTCAGAAATTATGAATGGCTGCAGTCTAACTGAAGCAGAATTAGTTGTCCAGGAGGATCTTTTCCCCCCAGCACTGAACTGCAGGGCAGGAGCCAGGGACAAAGCAGTAGCGTCTGGAAACGACCCGAGATAGGACTGGATGGAGGGCTAAAATGGACCTTCATTAGGAACAAGTTAATGAACGCAGCAGCTCTGACCTCAAGAGCCGACACCCAGGGCGGGGAGCAGCTGCAGGCCTGCAGGCCGGCAGCCGGGGTTACCTCGCAGGCC